TTCGTATCGCATTACCAGATATTTGATATGGAATATAGGATTACTTTGCCAAGGTAAGGAAATTAAAAAGGAAGCTTTTGAATATAAAAACCGTTTTTTGTACGTATTCCTTCTTATCTGCATTAGAACAAATTCCTTGTGCACAAAAGGAAAAACAGAAAAACTAGGCCAACTTTTTCACAAAAATAAACCTATCACAGATAAAAATTCCATTTCACTCAAAAATAGCATCGAATATCATCCGATTATTAATTCTGTGATATAAATTTCAATCAGTATGTATCAGTATCCGAGTATCAGCCTTAAATCGGCTATAAACCTTATCGTTTCTTGCCCCTCAAAGGCAGCATACGAAATAAAGTTGTAAATTGTACCTTAACAAATGAGCAATAAAACATGTTTACGATTTCAGTTATTGTGAAAAAAATTTCTGGACCTTTCGAATATATCTTCCAATCGCGAAAACTGGATTTCAAGGAAAGAATTCCGATATTTAATAAAAACGAATTCGGAAATTTTAATATAATATAGTCAAGTTCTGATTAAGGAGGCATTTCATGTTATGAGCGAATTTAAGGAACTTTAAGAACATAGCGATATAAAAAGCTGCGTATTGCCACTCAATAAAAACGTAATAGTTACGTTTAATCACATTTAATCCGAAAACTCAGCGATATAAAAAAAAAAACGTGCTACTGCTGGACAAAATGCAGAATATTTGTCTTCCGAATTCAATCAACAAACTCATCGATTTAGAAGAAATGTATTGCCAATGCCCGAATTAAAACATTGTTTTTTTGTTTCACGCCGTTCTGCGATGTAATATTTGATTATTCTTTTCAAATTTATTCTAAGCGATTTAAAAGCAACAAACGCAGATTTATTTGTCATTAATAATTAACTGGACTCGTTAAAATCATTACATTTTCTTCTGTGGTGGGCGCTTAATTAAGAAATATATAAACAATTTATAAATGACATAAAAGAATGTTATTTACAATAGCACTTGATGTGGACTACTGAATATTATTAAACTGTCGAATGTTTATATTTTTCGAACTGCGTACCCGAAGTTATATCTGAATTTTTCTACACCATAGACAATTTTCCTTTATGCTGATCGTTTGCGAGTCATTTTCCTATCGTTCCGCAATATTTTTTTTTTAAAACACTGTCCACTTAATACGCAAACCCGGTAATCGGGAATGGACTCTACAAGAAAACTGATGCGACTTTGTGAAAACAAGAACTTCGTGTAACATGAACTTACTTGCTGTTTGTTCTTCGTGCAATATATAACCGCAGGAATATTAAAAGAGCAATTACGAAAAGCAGAGTTGCCACGATGCAAAAACAAACTCCTCTATTTCCACTTTTTTTCTATTATTAGATGACTATCTGCGGATATCCGGCCTAGAGATCGTTTGCATCTCCCTCGCTAGCATTACTGCCTCTTACTTTCTATATTGACACAGTTAAAGAATAAAACTTTCGATTTTGAATTACATATATCCTGTTGATTACGGTAGCCTAATTATTCAGAACTCTTATTATCCGGATTAGATCCTCAAAAATTAAGGTTGTATTTAATTTATTAACGCATTTCAATCTTTCATTTGACTAGATGATGTGTATTTTGCTTTACACCACATGTCGCCTTCGTAGGCTTATTAAATTACATACTTTTTTTATGCTCTTCATTTAAACTTGAATTATTCTGACTTAATAAACCAATCCCTCGTGGCAAGTTGAAAATGACATCAAAATTGAAAAATTGAAAATTATAGTCCAATTTCTTGTATTATTTTTTTTTCATAAAGAGTATAAAACTTTCCCAAATACAAGTATAGGATCCGGAAAACCGCACTAAAAAAGATAGGTTTCATAAAGTATCTTTTTTTTTTTTTTTTAAATATGATACTGCCAAGTTTCGTCACAAACATTTCTGCATTTTTGCTGCACTTCACTTAAATTTGTTTTATCGAACTATTCTAATTTAATTAGCCAAACTCTGAAGACAAGTTGAAAATTACATCAAAAACTGCAACGTTCTAAGACTAATCGTTTCAGTTATGAGAGATAGTTACTTACAGACGTCACGAAAAATGTCCTTTTCAATCCATTTTACAATCGCTTTGGAAAAACGAGTCCGTTATTCTGTCCTCATGTATATATGTCCAAAAAAAAAAAAAAAAAAAAAAAAAAAAAAAACCGTCCAAATGAGTTCGGGAACAGTCAAAAGAATGTTTCTATTAAAATACTATACCCGAAATTTTTAGCGATTACAATATTTCCTTTTTACTTCGTACAAGAAAGTAAAAATCATTTATTCGTTTAATTTTGTTGCATTTATAATTCAGTAATAAAGAATCTGTATGCCTAAAGCAGTGGTCTTCAAACCGTGTCCCACAGAACCGACAGTCAAAAGAAAATTATAAAGCACTCACTATAGTTTTTATTAATTAAAACTAAATAAAGATTCATTTAGTTACAGATTAGTTTTAAAACTTAGCATGTGGTCATATGTCAAAGAAAACGACGTGTAGTGCTCCGCAAAATTAAAGTTTTCTAATGGAAAATGAAGAATTTAGACGACAGTGTTAAAAAATGTACAATGAAGCGCAATTTTTTAATTAAAGTAAAGTATAAAATAATATTTTCTTGAAGAGAACAATTGAGTACGACTGGATAAAAAATCCGTTCGAGTAAAAGATAAATCAGATCATAAAAGATAAATCTTGCCGATAAAGGAAAGAGAACAACTAAATAGATTGGACGTTGAAATCTAAATTTAAGCAACTGCTAAATTTTTGGTTGAACATTCAAATATAAAATACCAAGAAATGAATATTTAAAGAATATCCAATATGTCTTGTTTGAGGTTTAACTAATTTAGCAAATATGTAACTTAATTTAAAATGTGATTTATACAGTAATAAAACAGAGAATACAAAAAATCAAGTTTTACCAAGTATCAAGTCACATATTAAGTTTGAAAAAGAAAATTAAATACCTTTCACGCTTTGTCGAGTGGCAACACATTGATGCGAGGAAGATAAAAATATTTTACCTCGGACAGTGTGCCACACTTCTAAATAACCTTTTTTTTATATAATTTCTGATTTTTATTTGTAATATTTGAAAAACAAGTGTCTTAACACTTTACCAAGTCACAACACATTACTTTTAAATTATAGAGTTTGCTAATCAGAATTCCACAGGTTCGCGTAACAAAACAGTTTCAAAATCACGGCTTCGAGGTGTGGTGTATTTAATTATGGCAAAGCACACTAGGGCTATCTGCCTAAGGGGAGGGATGCCTTCGTGGAGGACTTTCTAAGGGAAACTTGCTCGTATACACGTTACACACGGGGAAAACCACGAAAATGCCCATGCAGGCAGCCCGTTCGCGGGATTTGAACCTCGGACCGAACTACCAGTGTTCAGCGTCTTTACCGCTCGGCCGCTGGTGGGCCACGGCTTCGAGGTATATATGTTCTAGTGGAGGACTATTCGAAATTTGGAGGCTCTAGGTGCCAAAGTATCTCCACAGTGCGAGGAGCATACATCCACACCAGGGGTTCGCAAGAGATTTTTATGGGCCCCCTAGGGTCAATAAAATTTTAAAGGAGATCATGACCACAGCCGAATATGCAATCAAGATCCCACTAATTAGAAAAAATATTGTAAAATTGATATAAAGCTGTACTGAATGAATCTTAAATATGAAGATGAAATCTTAAATATAAAGCAAATACAAATTTATTTTTAATTATTTAAATTTTTTGTAATATACACAAATATTTTAATTTGATTTTTTTTAGATATACAAATTATTTTTAATTATTTAATTCTTTAAATCTACACAAATTTTTCTTTTAGTTTTTAAAATACATTTTTTATACGGAAATGCAATATAAAAACGAAAAATGCAAGAACAGACAGAAGAAGGAAAAAATATGCTGTTATGTAAACACCGCTTGCAAAACAGCTTTCGTTCAAATTTTACTGTTCCTTTCCGAGACATTTAAAATTTGAAGGTGGCAGCATGGTTCATAGGCTGCCCATATGTTTGATCTTGATATTCTCATGCAAAAAGAGTAAATCGCATTGATGGAGAATATTCGAGCATAAGCCTTACCTAAAACGATATGCACGCTAAACTTTGGAATTCGAAAGGCATCCGAGAGAAAGATCCCAAAATAAAATCTCTTACTGGACAGCATTCATTAACTTTTTCCTTTTCTTACTTAGTGGAAGCTGGCTATAATTACCATGGAGAAAAAAAAAGAGAGACAGGGAGAGAAACAAATTATACATTTTGGAAAAAGATGATTTAAGAATTAAGTACATTTTAAATTTATTTCAAATATTAAAAGTTTTGCATCAATAATTAATCAATCCACGCACATTAAAAATAGAACTTTTATACCATTAGGATCGGCGATTTTGTTTCTGAAAACTTATATTAGTAAAACTAAAAATATTAATACAAAAAAAAAAAAAAAAAAAAAAAAAATCTGACGTGGAATTGCCTGTTGAACTGTTAACATTTTCTGCTACGCTTCATTTAAAATTATTTCTTCGAATTATTCTAACTTAACGGATTCCTCGAGGCAAGTCGAAAATGACATCCAAAACTGAAAATTTTGAAATTAAATATCTCGGCAAGAATAGGAACCGAAATTTTTCGCCATTAAAGTATTTCCTCTGAGAAAGTAAACACAAATGTCCAAAAAAAGGTGAGCCGAAGATATTAGAAAACGAGTACATTCGCACGCAACACGCGACACTAAAAACGAATTATTTACATGTTTAAAGCGCATGAATATTCCATAGTCGTGTTTTTAAACGTTTCATTACTGCGTCAAAAAATATTTTATATAAGCTGCGCAATCAAAAATTGCGCCGGAGATTCACTCACGTTTTCGATCAAAACAAACCAGAGGTTAAAAAACACAAAAGATAGAAAACAAGAAAGAAAAGTGAAAACATCTAACCTTGCCAGCTCGGATCCTGTACCACGAAAGGAGACGATAAATGTAATTTCCGCACATCGTTTGGCACCCGATTCGAAGCGCAGTCGCGGCGCACTTAGTCAGTTGGCCAAAAAAACTTATACCTCCAAAATACCTGGAGTGAACTTAGGCGTAACAGATTTTCGAAGTCTCAGTTACGTAACTGGTGTTGTTGCAGCACATGACAAAAGTAGCAGTCAGGTGATATTTTGAAGTCAACTGAAGTGGGGAAGTTGGAACAACTCGGCTTTTTTTCGAGAAGGAAGAAGGGAAACCGATAGGAAGGAACACGCAGCGGAGCTAATTCCAAGTCCAACCGATTTCCTGCTAGAATTTTTGTTTATGGCGTTCTAATCTCGGTCGGTCGACCGGCACTTCTAATCGAAAGTCGGGGCACGAGCCGATTTATCTTAAGTAATGTTATTTATTCGTTGATAATTAAAGTTATCCTTAAATGAAATCATTGTAAATGCAGAAGTTCGTGAAAAACGACCTTTGGTGGATGTGAATTACAGTAATACAGTTATATACACAAAAAAATCTGATGTGTACACCACGACTTCCTTGTACGGAATATTAAATTCTACACATTTTTTCTTGCATTTCGTTTAAACTTATTTCCTCGAATTTTCATTAGAGATATATTTCTCATTCAATGAATTCGGTTTTCAATTCGCGAAAAAGGAAAAAATACATAAAACCCCAAAATGTTTTTATTGAAAAATGAAACGTAGAAAAATATCAAATACAGTTAAAACAATTTTTACAATTAAAATTAGAGTTTCTACGCAAAAACAAGCAATTCGGCCGGCCGGCAAAGATGTTTCGTTGCGCAAAATTAGTTTACTTTTGGTCCCACTCGGCAAAAAGACATTGAAGGTCCACAAACTGACTTAATTCACTATTCTGCTAAATTTCAAATGGCTGCTATGGTAAAAAATTAGGCTTAACCCCACTTAACACGTTGAGCGTGGCGCCGGTCCCTAGGGACGGGCAGTGAAATTTCCGTGTGGCCGGCGTCGGTCCCCGAAGTCGATCCGCAGGACCGACAGTATTAAAGTTAAAAAATAAATATAGTCTCAATGAAATGTGATAAAATTTAGTTTTAATGAAATGTATTGAAACATTCTAAACAAAAATACGACTTAGCTCGCTGCCGGCTGAACGGAAAGGACAGGAAATTCGGCGCTGCGCTCAACGTGTTAACCCATTAGCCGCTGGTGTTGCGTTGACGCAACGGTCAAAATAAATGCGTATATAAATATAACTACCTAAGATATTTTATACCAGCAGATGATTTTGGGTAGGGAATATTATGAAGATTATTTTTGTAAAAAAATATTTTCCTTCAACAATCATTTTGTTTATAATAATCTCATACTTTAAGCAAAATTTTCGACCGGTATTTTTACTGAAAATATTTAACGAAAGTATCGCCGTCTTTATGAGTGATCTATTTTTAGTCAAGGTCACCGTTTATCAGAACATTACATCAGTCAAATGTTTATATTTGTGTTGGGAAGGAAGGAAAAACAGGTGTTGCGCTGACGCAACGTCAGCAGGAAACGGGTAGTCGATCTCCTTTTTCACTCATTCCATTCGATGTTCTGATTCATGTTCTGGTTGTTTAAAAATGCCTAGAAGGAGGTATATTACATTAGAAGAAGCCCTTCAAAGATTTTTGATGAAGAAACAGATGATGATAATGTTAATAATGACCAGAAAGAAACTGCTATTGTTGTTCCCCTAGAAATTGCAGAAACTAGTGACGAAGAAGAAAGGAATGACAATGTTTTAAACAACATATGATATTTACCAAATGATACTTGCTGGGAAAGTTGAAATTCACGTAAGAATGTAAGTCTTCAGCCTTCTAAAAGCAGTGGTAGTCATACTAAAAAGTTTAAAAAGCAGAAGAACTGAAAACTTGAAATGGATAGAAAAGGAACTGTCTAGTTTGTATGTCTTCAGGAAGAGAGATAGAAGAGAAAATTTACAAGGAGAAATTATAAAAGACAAAATACAAGGTAACATTAGTGCAGAAGATTTTCGATTTTCTTTTTGGTTTACTCTCTTCTCGTTGAACAGATAAATATATACGCTCAGAAAAAAAAAAAAAAAAAAAAAAAAAAAAAAAAGCCCAGGATTTATTGCATCTGAAGCCTATATGAGAAGATTTATTGGAATAGTATTGCTTACAGGATATCATTCTTTACCTCAAGAAAAAATGTATTGGTCTTTTGATAAGAACATTTCTGTTCCTGTTGTACGAGAATCGATGTCACGTTTGCAGTACAGGAATATGAAGCAGAACTTGCATTTGACAATAGTCAAATTGACAATACTGATAAATTATACGAGGTGAGACCGTATCTAAACTTACTAAATATCACCACTTTTTACTACTGGAAATATAAAGTCTCTTAGATTTCAGACGCGAGAATGCATTATTCCTTTTGAAAACTCCTATTGAGAGTGTAGAATTAGCCAGAAATAGATCAGCAACAGGAAGACCTAGTAAATTCAGCATTCAAAAACCATTGCATGGAGATGGTAGACATTTTATCGTAAAGGCCGTTGATAACAAAAGACTTTGTTCTAAAGAGTACCATAGCCAGACTGTTTATAGATGCAAAGTATGTAATGTAGCTTTACATCATGGTTGTAGTGAAGCTTTTTCGTGCTTGAATCTTTCAATTGAAATAATCTGTATTTGTAAAAGAAATATAATGTATATTTTAATATTAAATTTAATTACAAGTAAAGTGATTTGTAGATTTATAAAACGTTACATACAGCTAAAAATGTAATCCCATGCTGCTCCACTCAAAAAAAAAAAAAAAAAAAAATCATACGAGTACAATCCTACTCGCTAAGTATCCGTTAGTCTTTATTCCACTGACGTTGCGCGAACGCAACACTCGCTTTTTCCACAGGTAAGAGCATTTTTTTTTTTTTTTTTATTTTCAATGCAAATTTATGTTATAAATGCTTAATTTAATATTCGTTATTATTTTCATGAGAAAAACATTCCTTGTAGTTTTGGCGGTTAATGGGTTAAACAACTTTTAAGCCCTTGACATACAGGTACAGGTAGAAGCTAGGCCAGCACCTCCGTAGTACCACAGGTAATTGAGGTATTGCTGAATCTAGCTAACTGTTAAACTTTCCACCCCGATTTTGAGGAAGAACACCCCGGGGGGTGGTCCGAGGTTCTCCCGCCCCTCTTTTTTTTTTACCATCAATCACTTGAGAGGACTTTTTGAACATACAATGACGACCAGGAGACGTCACTAATTTCATGTGCCATTGTAAACTTTGACGTCTCAGACGTCAAGAACTGACTTCGGCGAATTCCGCGCAGTATATCGTCTTATATAGCAATGTAAATTTTTAAATAAAACGTTCTGTTTCTAAGCTTGCACATGAGTACGCAGCTTGTCACAGTTGAGCCAAATTAAATGGCATTCTTCGGGCGCGTATGTTATTTGTATGTCAAGGAGTTAAAAATTGTTGATAATTATACAATTATCGCATTCAGATTAACTAAAGACATAAAAACCTGAACCGGAAGATCAGAACAACATAATTCAAACATTTTAAAGCAACACATGCGCTATATACCAACATAAAAGAATAAAAAACTGAGCTCTCATAGCCAAGTGGGTATATATTATATAATTTTGGCACGGCAGATCGCAACTAAAAATTAAGATGCACAAATACATATTATAGCAGACCAGTATACAAAATTTCAACTTTCTGAGGCTACGCGTTTTTGAGTTATGCGAGATACAGACGTCACGAAAAAGTCTCTTCTGAATCAAATTTAAATCGTTTTTGCAACCCGCTTTGGTAAAAGTCCTTTATTCCGCTTAAGGTATTATAAGTCCCGCTTAAGGTAAAAGTCCTTACGTACAGATATCCCCGCAAAAAGCATCGTCAAATGGTATTCGATAGCTGTCAAAATGGATATTTTTGTTGAAATACGGCACCCGAAAGTTTTTGAAATAACAATTCTTTACTTCGTACAAGGAAGTAAAAATATGTTGAAATTTGGGCAATAAAAATATAGATCTCTGGAAAATATTAACCCTTAGCGCTCCGCACGTTTTTGTACCACTGCCTACCAGCAATTCCGGCACATTTTTGCAGCGGAATGCAGCATCCAGAATATCTGCATAAATCTCTTTCTTGTAAATATTTTACCAAAGAAAGGGATGTGACTATTCTCCTTAAACTGACTAATAATCCTGCATATTAGCCAGGGGTATCGTACCCATATTGATAATAACTCCGATAAAAGCCCAAAACTCATCCTCTTCCACCGCACGCCACGTTTTCCAAATAGAATTACTAGATATTTCTTTATCTTTAGAACATTTTCCACGTAATGGTTGGTTTCCTTTTATAATTTCATTTACCAGTTCGTTTGTGAAAAATAATTTGAAATATTGTGTCGGCTGTACAATATTTGTAGGAATTTGTGGTTCCAATGACCTTTGGCGATACACTAAAATGTATTCTATCCGAAATATCCAATTCTTCCGTGACATCGCGCCATTCATCTAAGTCTTCCGGCAACTCTTCGCTTAATAACTACCATTCGTCGTCTCTTTGGTAATATAATTTCGGAACCACTACTTGAAGTGTCAGAATTATAATCAACATCGTCTTCCACAATATCTTCTAACAATGAAAAATCAAACACATCTTCACTATCATTCAACTCTATATTCTCATCACAATAATTATTTTTCTCCATGTTGCTAAGCATAAAATAAATCGTAACAGTAGCGAGACTGAACACGTTTTAACTACAGATAATTGCCAACGCCGACGATTCCGTAATATCTTAAGCCTAATCATGCTAAAAACATTGGGCTCCGCAGCGGAGCCTATGGAGTTACAGAACAAATGACGGACGGCTCCGTAACGGAGCGCTAAGAGTTAAATTTATCAGACCTAAAGGGCTATTATTTTGCATACATTATTTTATGTTGATTGGCCTTAAATGTTGTCCACTGCGAGTGCGGGTTTTCATTTTTCATTCGAGTCTGTTGACATTCAACAAAATGCAAGATTTTTTCACTGCAATTGAATCTTCTCTGCTAGATTATTAAATAGTAAATTACTAAATAAAATACGTTTATTTTCCAAGTGCCAGTATTTACATTCGGCAAAGTATAACATATTTAATTTTATTACTATCATATATTATTACCAAGCTAGGCCATTTAAAA